TCGAACACGTATCTCGTTATTTTTGATGCTCTATCTGTGGTAAAAATCTCAGCTTGATCGGTTGTACCGTCTTCGAGAACCACAAAGTGTCAAAAAAGAGGGGGGGGTACCCTTAAATAAAGAAGGTAGGCCTTAAAAGCAGCATTAAATCCGAGTTATTAACGAATAAAAAAATGTAAAATATTTTAATTTTACGTTACATACCTTGTTCGAAAAAAAATGAAGTGTGACAAGAAAAACTAAGAAAATAATACTGAAAGTAAAAATCTATTTGAGTTACACTGTTAAAAATTTCTCTGAATTGATTTTCTATGGTTATAGAACGACAGTAACTATTAAATATCAATTTTTAATTTATTTATTTAAAAATAATGAACCTAATGTAGAAGGAAAAAAAACGAAAAACGTTATATTCGAATTAATGAAATTTTTATCACCAAAACCATAAATCATAATTGATATATTTAATAGAATAATTTTTGAGTAATTTTTCTGATTTAATTAAAAGTTTTGTTTGTTTTAAACATAATTTTGATACGTTCGAAACACATAAATAACATAAACTTCGTATTTTTTTATGATTTTTTGATAATAAGAATCGAATTATTTGTTCAATATCTTCTCTATTCATTTCAATTTTTAAATATTTTAATCTTGGAAATAAATCAATAGTTAATCGTATATAACTTAATGAACATTTCCAATAAAGAATTAATTTTTTTATTTTATTATTCTTTGATATATATTGAAAAATTTCATTGTTTTTTTTTTTGAACTCTCAGTCATATCATTGAATAATAATGAATCCAAACTTACTGTATGTAGATTAGGTGTAAAATATAATAAATTAATAAGTTGTCTAATTGAAAAACTACACCCTTCAATAACTAATTCGTTTAATTGCATTAAAAGAATAATACGTTGAAGGATTACTAGAGGGTGTGGGGAGGTATGTTCAGATTGCCAAAAAAGGAAATTACCCAAATTTCTGAAATTTCCATCAGCTCGATGACTATATAGCAGTGCACATCAAAAGTTTTTACACATATTGGAAGTTGCCGAAATTTTAGAAATTTCTGTAATTTCAGAAATTTCTGTAAGTACATAATTGCGGAAATTTCAGAAATTTCGGAAATTACACCTTTTTAGGAAGTAACGTGAAATTCAGAACACAAATGTTTGAAATTTCCGAAACTTCTGAAATTTCCTTTTTCGGAAGTTTGAACACTGCTGGGTGTGGGTGTGGGATGTGAAGACTTGGGGTGTCGGTGTGAGTGTGGAAAGAATGCATTTCACCCCGTACCCACACCCTGTAATATAGAATTTTCGAATTATGGTCTAATTCATTTTTTTGAATTACTTTGTAACTTATTTGCATCATCTAGTATGGTGCAGCTGTAGTATTTCGCCGATTCTGGGTGACGAACGAAAAAAAGTTACTAAAGTCACGGTCGAATGCACATTTTCTCAATTTACTATGCAATATTTCTCAGCGCATTCTTGAAGATGTATGATTAATAAGTGATAGAACACGAAAAAAACGATATTTTCATGTAAAAAAATATATGTCTCTATAATATATGAGAATGAGTAATTTGGCGTCTACGGATGAATGCGTTCAAGCCAACTAGTGTAGATATACGTATGTAAACGATGTGATGTATATTTCATTTTGTTTATAAGAGACGTCAATACATTATACTGCTGTTCTTGTCGGTAATCCACAATATTACGAACGTATACAGCGAGAAAAGTAACTCTTTTCAAATTCTATTCCCTTGTGTAGACAGCTTTAATCATTGGTATCTAGCAGACCTTTCTATCCTGAAGGAGTACCAATAAATTTACATATTATTCTTTTCGCATCATTCTCATTATTTTGTTGCTAATACGTGTGTCGACATTTTGGGTAAAATGAATAGGTAATGCGAACAGAGAAAAATTCAGGATGTAAAAAGCTCAAAAGACCACTAGATTCCTCACACGATGCGTTGTTAAGCCTGATCTTGTGTTTGCATAGCAACAATGACTGGGCAGTATGATTTCTAATGTGTATTTCAGAGATAAATGGTCACGGATTTTTTTCGATTTACTTTTAGCAGGAATGAGATGGAGACCTGTGCTTTTCACCATTGGAGAGAGAAAATGAAAATACATTGAACTATATATAGAAAGATTTTCCTAATGACTCTCCTAAAGGTTTTACGCAAACGTTTTCGATGAATTGCGTTTTTCTCCTACGTTGCAAAAATAATTTTTCTATTAAAATACCGCAACAAACTTCCATTTTTCGACTATTTTGGGTGTGGGTGTGGGTGTGGATATGGATGTGGGTGGGTGTGGGTGGGGTGTGGGTTTGGGTGTGGGTGTGAGTGTGGGTGCGGGTGTGGGTGTGGGTGTGGGTGTGAGTGTGAGTGTGAGTGTGGGTGCGGGTGTGGATGTGGGTGTGGGTGTGCGTGTGGGTGTGGGTGTGGGTGTGAGTGTGGGTGCGGGTGTGGGTGTGGGTGTGGGTGTGGGTTTGGGTGTGGGTGTGGGTGTGGGTGCGGGTGTGGGTGTGGATATGGGTGGGAGTGTTAGGTGTGGGCGTGGGTGTGGGTGTTACGTGTGGGCGTGGGTATGGGTGTGGGTGTGGCGGCTGTGTGTGGTAGAAATAAGCTCTTACATGGCATCCACACCCACCCACCCAAACCCATACCCATACCCCACATCCATATCCCCACCCACACCCACGCCCACCACATCCCACCCACACCCACACCCACATCCACAGCCACAGCCACACCCACGTCCACAGCCACACGCACCCCACACACCCACACTCACACTCACACCCAAGAAAAACTGATCACTAGCCTTCGGTAAAATCTTTGTTGTTTTGAAATGGAAACAGCTATCGATCTCAGCCTTGCGTGGATTGATAAAGGCGAAGGTAGACTATCTATCCACTATATTATAATTATAAAAGCATTTTGTATTTATGTCACTTTTAGCTCATCTTCAAAACTCATAGTGTATGCAAAACAAAAAGTGATCGAATTTTTTCATTGATCTTATGAAAAGATAGAGCAGCCTCGCCTCTAGCTATGGCTAAAATATCAGCGCTTTATCTCTTGGTATTGCGGAGTTATTTAAAAAATGCCTACGGCCACTTATCTCTGAAATGGACCTTAGTTTTCTACCGATAGATCGGTATCGCATCGGTAAACCGGTGACGTTCGTCGAGAGACTAGACGGGTTCTATTTATGTGTTGAAGAGCTGAGGAAAAACTGAAGCGATTGTCGTCTGTTATTTTTTCAATTTTTGGATTGAATACAGAGAAATCTATTTTTCTGTAGTTGATTGGAGTCCTCTGTTCATGAGTCATCTTAGAATGAATGGTTAAAATCGTAAAAATAGGAATCGAAGAAAAGAATGACGAATCGCTTCATTTTAGTGTTATCTACTTACTAAACTGTTTTGAGAACTTCATATAATCGGCGAGATGAGGAAACGGATCCTAACGAAACACTACTTTTTTCACTAGCCTCGAATTTGTAACTTCTGAATGCTAAACTCTGATCGATTGAAATTTTCACAATCGCACTTTTTAGTCGTCGCTGACATCGACGAACATTTTCAGTAATGATCCGTTGTTACGAAGGTGAAATCGATTTCTGTATGAAAAGGGACCTTTAAAGCGCTTCTTTTCACAGCATCGTGAAAAACATAAAGCACATACTCTACTGACGAGGGAACCACAACAACTGGTACCAGAGATCGAGCTTATATTATGACTGTAACTAGAGCTCAGTGGAAATAGTAAAAGCTCGAGAGCGTGCATTCCCATCGCGAGTCGAGGCAACGATATCGAATTTTTAGTAAATGTTTTTTCAGAAAAGATTGTGACCGCCTCAGACTCGACAAAAAATCGACTTTCGGACTTCGGCCTGAAATTGCGCTCACACAAGAGTCTCAGTTACAGAAGCTTATAAAAATAATTCCGAATTTTTCCACAGTCACTTCGAGTAATAAATTCTTTAAAACGTAGGCAGTTGTCCAAAAACATGAATATTTTGAAAAATTCATAACTCGGAGGCACTTTTGGATGTGGGTATTTTCATCATCATAGCAATCATCCACACCTACTCATACACACACCCACATCAACCCACACTCACACCTTATCGTCTTGATTCGTGGCCAGTGAGCGATGTATAAAAAAATTTACCAACTTCTATTTTGAATGCTGCATTGATCGTTTCTAACCATGCGTTGGTCGCCAAGAAATCGTCATGTTGGTTCGTTCACAACTTCTGAGAGCCCCGTATGTTAAAATATCAAGAGTATTTTGCTTGTCAATACAAACACGGCGACATTAGTAGTTAGTGATGTTTCATTATTTACAATAAATAGAGCACTAGTGTACTCTGAAAAAAATAAAGGAGGTTTGCAGAACCCTCCGAAAAGGTTCTGTAGATTTCTAAAAGGCTCAAAATGTGTTGAAAGTCTCGAAAAAAGGATAAAAAATTCAACAGAACCTTTTGAAGGTTCTGCGTTGTATCCAATCGCAGAACCATTTCTTACAGAACCTTTTTTTAGGTTCTGTACAGCAAAAAAAGGTTCCATGAGAAAATACGAAACCTTGAGGGTTCTGTACAAAACGATTAGAAGAAGAAGAATACCCCGCCTTTCGGCTACCTTGCGGTATAGGGTGCTGTCCGAGGACAGTTTCGAGAAGCCCGATATTTTCCTACATCTATTACTAAATGTAGCTCTGGACAGAAGGCCGGCCTGACTCAGAGTTCTTCTCGCTTAATTTCTTAAGCTCCCCATACATACTGACTAACCACATACTAGTCACAAGGACCATTTAGTGTATGTCAACAACGTAGTCAATTTTTTATCGGATGGGTGATCCGAGACAAAACAACCGTTAGTGACTTGTCCAAGGTCATTCTATGACTCATGGATCCGAGGTTCGAACACAGTATCTTGTGGATATGTGTCAAACAACTTAATCATTCAGCCATAGCGGCCCACCAAAACGACTAGGGTTCAGTACGGAACCATTAGGGTTACGTATCAATGGTTAATGGTTTTGTGCAGAACCCTCAAGGTTTCGTATTTTCTCGCGGAACCTTTTTTTGCTGTACAGAACCTAAAAAAAGGTTCTGTGAGAGATGGTTCTGCGATTGGATACAATGCAGAACCTTCAAAAGGTTCTGTCGAATTTTTTATCCTTTTTTTTGAGACTTTGGACACATTTTGAGCCTTTTAGAAATCTACAGAACCTTTTTGGAGGGTTCTGCAAACCTCCTTTATTTTTTTCAGAGTAGTATTTGACATTGATAGACTGCAATCGCGTCAAGTGTGTATTTCTGTTCTGGATCTTGTTATGCTAGCGAATGACGTATTGTTGTGAGTTGATGTCGAAAGAGAAATTTCATTTTTATACAACGCATAAAAGACATTTCTTTATTTCTGCTGTTTTTTACAGCAACAAAGATAAAAAGTGACCACTATAGTTTGTATTGTCTGAATCAAGTTAAACAGACAACCCTATGGACCATCCAGCGTCTGCACCCAGTGATTCTCCAGCATCCGTTCAATGGGTGTGGAAGTCGAACACGAATCCATGGGACGAATCTGAGCCAGCCGAATGGACTTATTTCTCTCATGTGGAAAATATTATGATTGAAGAAGCATTTATAGCTAAGCAAACCCACGTCCTTCTGGACGACTACCATATTGATTTTAAACATAACATTCAAATCTCCAACGACGAGGACAAGAAACAAAGGCCTATCAAACGACTAGCGTGTGAGAGAGACGATAAGCACGAACGGAAAGAACGATTCATATCCGATCCCATCGCTCCCGAACGTCCTTTCAGCGGTCTATATGGTTGGGTATCGCCCTTCATCGT